TTGCATGGCAAATGCACTGCAAGCAGGCTACCTTGACAAAAAGTACTCATTTAAAGACAGTGCTATTGCTAAACATGAGAGATTTGGTCCACTGATTCTGAAAGAAATGGAGTCACAAGAAATTCACCAGGAAATTCAGGAATTGGATTGTTTTGATGATGTTCCAGAAGATGATGACATGATTATCTTTGAATAAATGAGTAAATTCTTGATACTTTAGGATTCACAGTTTGTCTGATTTGTGTTGACAACTACCATACTACTGTACCGTTTACAGGTAATACATTTCTTTTATTTTCATTTAACAATAAATGTGTACCATATTCTTCTTCAGGGAAAAATAAGACATCCCCTGAAAATAAGACCTAACGCTTCTTTGGGAGCAAAAATTAATACAAGACACTGTCTTATTTTTAGGGAAACAGAGTAGCAGAGGAGAAGCACACCCACAGGGATTGAGGAGTGTTTGCTGAATTAAATGAATGCCATTTCGAAAATTCTGTGAAAGTACCGGTGCCACCACAGCCCTTCAGGTGAACTCCATTCTGATTACAGAAAAGCCCGTGTTTACAGGGTAGCAATTTGGGTATCAGAGAAAAACACCCCAAAAGGCATTGAATACCTCTCCTACTGCAGGCTTTTTCCTCCAAGATAAACAGTGTAATACCTATGGAGCCTGCCTACATAAATATTTGCTTATTCTCGAGAAAGAAGCCATGGAAATTTACCTGTATTGCAACTCAAAAGTCTAATATAGTTTCATAGTTAGTTTAAATGCTTACTTGCAGGACACTAGTTTATGTTTTGTGGCTACCTTAAAGGACAATTTTATTAAGTTGGTATTTTTACTCATGTGGAAGAGAGGAAGGAGTAATGGAAAAGCCTCTGCCTAAATTTTCATTAAATAAATACAGGATATAAAGAGTTCAGTAAAGTAATGCATTTGGGAGGAAAGTGGGTCTGGTATTATTACATACTATACTCCGAGTTACAAAGGAGTGAGGAGGAAGAGCATGGATCCCAGTGCCAAACAGCCTGCACTCATATCCCAGCTCCATCACTACGTGGTGAGCGAATTTGGTCAAGTGGCTTAGCTTGTGCCTCATTTCCTCATCTATAAAATGGGGATGAAATGGTATTTACAACAGGGTTAATATGAGACTAGAAGAAGATATAAGAAGTATCTTCTTCTTATACTGTAAAGTATAAGAACTTCTTATACTGTAAAGTATAAGAACTAGGCTTGGCTCTGAGTAAGCACTCCATCAATGTTAGCCATTTCTATTACTATTACAATTAGAACCTTCATCTACTGACAATCATAAACACTGGACAATAAAAATTAAATAGAAGCAGATTGTGTCCCAGTCTAATAAGACACAAGTAAATTTTCCAGGGCGCCTGGAAAGATATAATTGCTACAGTGAAATACCGAGTTCTAGAAAATCTAGGATCAGTTCTCATCGCCTTCATTTAATGATAAATTTTGAAGACTCAAATATATTTCAACAAAAGCAATACTAAATCCATTTAAATGCTGACACAGCATTTTCTCTTTTTTTATTTAAAAATAATCTCAAATTATCTTTTCTTCATACTTGACTTCAGCTAATATTTGATATGGTCAATAGGAATTTCGCACAAATGTAGCATCTAGTTGCTTCTCACTACAAAAGCGTTATAAGTTACCTCACTAGCCAAAAGCTCACTAGTTATTTAGAAGTACAGCCTCAACGAGCCTTACTGTTGTGAGGGAATTTACATTTTAAGAACCCAAGACAGAAAGACCAGGTAAAGATAGTTGTGTGGCATTCTCCCACAACCACATCAAAATTACATCTAAACCACAGAACAACCATCTGTCTTAAATCTGGATGAATGGTACTAGAGAATTAAAGAATAAAACACATCAAATCTGGTAAGGGGAGCAGATGCATGTAACAGGCTGGTCCTATACCCAAGCAAGACTTTTTTTCCTTTTTTTTTTTTTTTTTTTTTTTTTAAATAGAGGGCTATCTTGGCTATGGAGATGTCCCATGAAGAGCAAGGGGGCCCAGTCTTACATCAGACCCTCCAATGCTGGGAAAAGAAGTCCCCATAACTTTGGGCTGTAAAAACCTGTGGGAATTGTGGCTGAGTGATAGAGGCTCCTGGGAAACCAGGAATTCCTCTTAAAGGGCCAGAGCATGTATTTACTTGGATTCATTTCCTCTGAGACCCAGCAGCTTTGGGGCAGCAGCTTGAAAGAATCCCAGGACAAATAGGGAGGAACTAATTTGTCTGACATCAGGGCAAAAACTAGGCAGCAGCTTTCTCCCAGACAGACGTGCTAGAAGAAGTCATTGTTCCTTTGCTGAGACTTCCCCACTACAGTGCTGACATTGTCACTGTATCTGAGTCTCTGGCCCACACTGTTCACCCAGACCTGGTTATTCCCTGACACCCCACCCAATTTGTAACCTCACCCAAGCTGTTTGCAGTGGCTTTCCCATATGAATGGTCTGTCCTTTCCTAAAATCTCTCAAACAAGCAGCAGCTGGCCTCAACATGTCCCATACCTCATGATAAGTGGTCCCAGGCCCAGCACTAGCAGCATCCAGCCTTGGTTCATAGCTTGGACTCTTTGAGGCACCTTCAAACACAACACAAGTAGCAACTATCTGCAGATTGCACTGTAGCTCATGCCAGATGGCCCCATGGATGGCACAAGCAGTAGCTGGATTTGTATCTCACGAAAGGCCCCAGAGCCAGTCCACCCAGTGATCAGCTTCAGACCATGCTAGATTACAACTCTATCACATCCACATATGACACACTCAAGGGGTAGACTTGGAGAGCACCAAAGCCCCACTGAAGCAAGTCCTGCTTCATAGGGGTGTGTCCTGCACAGCAGCTCTTCCACTATAATCATAGCTGGTCCTCACAGCTAATTGGCCTGGGGTCAATCCTTCCCAGTGACCAAATAGCAATCAAGGCTCAACTACAACACAACAGTGCACACAGCTCAGGTGACTGGGAAAGCTGAGCCACTGGGATCTATACAATGCTTACTACATAAGGCCAATCTACCAATTCCAGCAGACATAGCAGCTCTACCTAATATATAGAAACAACATAGAAGCAACCAGAATTCAGAGACAAAGAAACATGTCACAAATGAAAAAAATGGAAGCAAGCAAAATACTGGATACAGAATTCAAAACAATGGTTATAAGGTTACTCAAGAATCTTAACGAGAGCTTCAAGAACTTAGTGAGACTTTCAAGGATCTTGGTGAGAATTTCAAAGATAAGAAAGGACCAGTCAGAAATTAAGCATACGCTAACTAAAATAAATAATATTTTACAGGGATTTAATAGAGGATTCTGAGAACAAATCAATGATCTGAAAATATGAGGAAGAAAAAAAAAAAACACTCAGAAGAACAAAAAGAAAGAACAACCCAAAAATATGAAGAGAGTGTAAGGAGTGTCTGGGGCAACTTCAAATGTAACAACATCCTCATCATGAGATTACCAGAAGGAGAGAGAGGGAACAAGAAATTGAAAAATCTACTTGAAAAAATAATAAGAGGAAACTTCTCTTACCTGATATATGAAATAAGACATAAAAGTCCATGAATCACAGAGAGTCCCAAACAAGAGGAACCCAAAGAGGCCCATACCAAGATAAATCATAATTAAAACACCAAATGTTAAAGACAAAAAGGGAATCTTAAAAGCAGCAAGAGAAAAGCAGTTAGTTACCTAAGGGAGTACCCATACAACTGTCAGCTGATTTCTCAACAGAAACTTTGCAGATAATAAAGGAGTGGCAAGAAATAGTCAAAGTGATGAATAGCAAGGACCTACAACCTAGATTACTCTACCCAGCAAAGTTATCATTTAGAATTGAAGGTCTGGTAAAGAACTTTACAAACAAGAAAAAGCTAAAGGGGTTCTTCACTACCAAACCAGTATTACATGAAATGTTAAAGGTTATTCTTTAAGAAGAAGAAGAAAGATAAAAAATATGAACAATAAAATGGCAATAAATACATATCTATCTATCAACAATTGAATCTGAAAATAAAAATAAATGAACAAGGAATCTAATAAACAAAAAACCTGAAATATAAAATAGAACCAGAGGCATGGAAACATGAAACAGACTAATGAATCTCAGAGGAAAGGGGAAGGGGGAGCAGAAAGAGATTAATCAAAGAACTTATATACATACATGCATTATCCATGAACACAGACAATAGGGTGGTGAAGGCCTGAGGAATGGCAGGATCCAAGTGAAGAAGATAATTGGTGGGAGGAAACAGGGTGATAATCTCAACAATAAAGTTTTTTTAATAAAATTTTAAAAAATAACACCCAAGGCAAATATCCCTAGAACCTAAACAAAATCAAGATTGAAATATATAAAACTAATCACAACTAAATTAAGACACTATGTGCATTAGGAGATCTATTTGGGACCAATAAAATAACTGCAATCTTCATCATTTCTTTTTAGGTTACATAAATTTGGCTGCTATCCTCCCTAACTAAACTGCTGCCACCTCATACAGATAGTGATGCCCCTCTCCCCTTCTGCAGAAGCTGATGAAGGGTTGAAAAGAGACCAGAGCAGAAGGTTGACCATGGCTGGATGGAGCATCCGTGTGCTCAGAAGAACCAGGGTAGGATGGTGGATTTTGTCACTCAGCTCCGGGCTCTCTAATAGTGGCATTAGTCTCTGCGTTTATGAATCCAACTCTCCTCCCAGCTTCAACACACACACACACACACACACACACACACACACACACACACACCACACACACAACCATTATACCTACACAGGATAGATGGGTAAATTGACTTAGGTCAACTGATAAAGTGCTATTCCACGCAAAGGGCAAGTACAGAATAAGAAACCAAACTCAATAACCAAGAAACGATTGCACAACTGAGCAATATGCTGAGTGAATTATCTGGACCTGAGAGGAGCAGAGAGGCTTGTGAGCTTACCAAGAATAATTCTTGCTGAAAGCTTCCGGCTTCCGGACGATGTTGTAAGTACATGGGACCAGCTCTCCAGGAATTCTGGTGGCAGTGTGGTTAGTCTGTTGCTTGATAAATCCAAGTAGGTGAGGTTCTTCAGGTACCTGGCTGCCCCATTTGGCACACTGGTTATTTGGTTGTTGTGCAAATCCAGGATCCTTAGACGGGGCATATACAGCAGAGATGCCCAAGGGAAGGCAACTAGAGAATTCCCATCCAAGCGCAACTCATGCAGCTGCCCCAGGTTGTAAAAGCTGCTGGCCTCAAGGCTAGACACAGAATTGTAAGTCACCCAGAGGTACTGGAGCTCCACCAGGTAGTAGAAGGCCTCAGCGGGGATCGTGCGGATGACAGTCTTCTCTACGCGAAGCTTCGCAGTGTCCACGGGGAAGTCCAGGGGGAGCTCATTCATATCTTGGTCATTACACAGCACTGTCCTAGTGTCACAACAAGAGCAGTGGGAGGAGACCTGCTTTCCGAGACCCATTGGAAAAAAACAATGCTCATTCGAAACATGCATCAAATGAAAACTCCTTACTGGTTTTCACAAAATATTTGTGGAGCCTGGTTGACCTGTTCATTAATAATTTGCCATCAGTCATTATACATGTAGTAAACAAATCAGCCATTCAGTGAAATATATCACATTAAATGGGTGAACTTTAAAAGCAGCCTACCAGGTAAAGAGGGGTAAACACAGCGTAAAGCTGTGATGTCCTGCTAGCTAGCATCTCCTGTCTGTAACTTCAGGGGAAGACCATTTGGAACTATCAGAATTCTATGAGGACACTTCCTATTCTTCATCTCTACTCTCTCTATCACAAATTTCAGTGCTACTTGAGACCAGAATGATCCAATTTCTACTCATTAAGTTAGCATTCCAGTGTAATGGAGGAAAGCCTGGATTGGAAGCTGAAAGACCCCGTGTCTTTATCAACTCTGAGCGGTGACCTTGCACAGTCCTTTAGCCTCCACATGGCTTCGTTTCTTCACTTGCAAAACAACAGCCGTAGAAATAAATTCTTTCTAGAGTTCTTGCCAAGAATAATACACTATGGTTTTCATAAAATCCATCAATAATGGGGCCACCAGGGGGAAGGAAACATTTCTGTGTTGTTTCTTAAGTACCCTGGCGTAAGCTGTTAGTGCTACCTAGCTTTTGCCAAGTAGGGCTTTTTAATTTGTTATATTCTTCTCACTGTCTTAAACCACCTAGTAAATCTCTCAAAAAGATACCAAGAGTTACTAAAGTTTATAGAATAACAAGACAAACTACCCAATGTTTAAATTTTTACTAATTTGTTTAAAGATATAGAACATAACTTGGGTGACTCAACAAATTACTTTAAGAGGCTCACTGTTCAAATAACCTCAAAAGTCACAAAACCATCAACCAAGTCACACAAAACATCTGATTTTGTCATTAAATATCCTTTTAAAAAAAATTATGGTCTACCATGGTTAGCTAACAAACGTTCCTTTTGCATTTAACTTCTATCTCAAAGGACTCATGTATATTATGAGTATTTAATTATTTTCACTTCACAGATAGATGTTAAAGCAACCCAGAGATTAAATAACTTCTGTGAGGCCCTACAGTGTCGGCAACTGATAGAGTTGATTCGTATCTTTCAAACCTCATTTCTTTGTAAACTCCAATATCTTAAAATGAAAAATTCTAATTATGAACGTCTGTAATTTCACTCTTATAAGAGTCCTTTCTGCTTTCTAAAGTCTATCTGGTTGGTATGAATAACCCTCAAAATGAAATGGAAAACTCGGGAAGCAAATGATCTGGGCACCTCCTGATCGGCCCTGCTTTCTGTATCAGGCTGAGCAGGCCACACACATTTCAGCTGGACCTCCTGAAGTGAACATTTTCTGAACACAAGTGCAATGAACATTTTTGTATGTGTCTGAAGCTCTCAAATAAAAATTAGGGGCTTTTAAGAGCTAAACTTCTGAAAATAAAAGCACTGAGTTAGCAAACAGTATTAACACAACTAAGTTAAAACTTATGTAAATTAAACCTTCTCTCCTCTGATTTCTGATCAACAGTTTGCTTTCAAATAAGGCTGATAGTGGAGTCCCTTTCCTCAGAATCATTAGGACATTTAGCATACCTTGATCCCGTGCCATCATTTCTGCCGTGATAATCGCAGGTGCACTGTGAAGGACATAAACAACTCACTCCTTCCAAAAAGCTAAGCACAACGCCCAGACATGCTAAGAGACGCATTGCTCCTTTTAGAGGTTATTGGAACAAAAGGTAAAGACCAAATCCTAAGCATTCAGAGGCTGGTGTGCCTGGAACACAAACAGCCATTTAGTAAGAGCAGATTACACAGGATTAGCTGAGATCTCTGGTTACTACTTAACCTTCAAGTGTATTTTGCAGGGGTTCAATCTTCCTAGCCTTTGAATGTGGTTTCAGCAAAGTAACACATTATAAAGAAAATGAAAACCAAACAAGTTAAGAAAATTTCAATAGTTACAAATATCGATAGATTTGCAAGGAAATGCCTATTAAATTCCTTTACTATGGATGTAATTGCTAAGTACATGATATAAAATTGATTTAGAATAGAGTTATCAATATTGCCAAGTATTGGCTATCTTCAAAAATAAAGTAGACAAAGTCTGGTACCTAGATTTTTTTTTTTTTAGACTAAATGCCTCAATCCACCAGTGAAAGCTGGACCTAGGGCTCCAGTGAGTGTGTCCTGTGACTCGTGCAGGTCATCTCAGCACAATGTAAGGCTCCTCCCAGCTCTTATTTCCACCAAAAGCTACTATCTCTCTTTATGAATATGTTTTATTCTAAGCTCTTTTCCCAAATTATGGGCATCAAACCATAGCTAAAGATGAACTGGTATGTCTTTTAGCAAAGTTATGCTCTATCAAAAAAAAATAAAAAGGTAAATTGAAGTTAAAAAATTACCTGAACACCCATAAGGTGGGAAGAATCCATAGGCATAATCAAGGGTTTATGTGTTTATATTATAATACAAATATATATGGCACTTAATTTTCCTATTAAGTGGTTCTATCCATCATTTTTAAACCAAAAACTCTTTTAAAAGAATCAATTTTATAAAAGTAAGAATACTATGGGAGATATTATTTAAAACTAAAAGAACACATATAGAAACAATAAAGTCAGAAGAATCTGCTCAATTAAAATAAAATACTACAGATTTTAAATGTTTCACTAAACAATCATGTATTATCTTGCTATGCTTAATAGTTATTTAAAGTGGCAATTATGTGACTACAAATTTACTCAACATTCAACAAATATTTTATTGAGTGCCTACTATGTGCCAGGCAAAACAGGTGTGGCATGCTCAGGACGTATCAAAGAACAAACATACAGCTAAATCAACAGGCATAAAGTTTCAGTTAAGCAAGATGAATAAGTTCTAAAGATCTGTGGTGCACTGTTGTACTTATTCTGTATTATACACTGAAACATTTGTTGAAGGGGTAGATCTCATGTTATGCTCTTAACACAATAAATTTCAAACAAACAAAAAGATAGGGGGGAAAAACATACATAAACCCCCACTCTGACTAAACTTCATTCTAGTGGTAAATATATAGAAATGCACATATAGAAAAGTGATAATTAAAAAGCAGATTATATAATAACATGCACAGAGATTATATTGCTATATAAAATATATATGCAATAACTGGTATGTGATTTAGAAACAATAGGATTTAACAGTCCTCTGATCATTTTTGTTAAATAGTATGTTAATAATTGCATTAAGATTTTAAAGTTGAGAAATGCTAACAACTCATTTCAGTAATTATTAGCTAATTAATTATTATTTATTAACTATTATTATTTTTTAGTATATTTTATTGATTTTTTACAGAGAGGAAGAGAGAGGAATAGAGTTAGAAACATTGACAAGAGAAAATCATCCATCAGCTGCCTCTTGCACACCCCCTGCTGGGGATGTGCCCACAACCAAGGTACATGCTCTTGACCGGAATCGAACCTGAGACCTTTCAGTCCGCAGGCTGATGCTCTATCCACTGACCCAAACCTGTTTCGGCTATTATTATTATTATTTTTTAACATTAACATAGCAACTACTTCTTGTCTAATGAAGAGCCCAGGCAAGATACCAGGCCATCGGTACAGGGTATTGCATGCCATGATAGGGAAAAAGAGAATCATGTGCCTGGATTCATCAAAGGAGATGAGCAATAAGTTTTTATATAAAGAAATAAAGAAGCATTCTCTACAGCCAATGCACAAACAGAAATATAAACTACATTTAAAGAATTCAGTCTATTAGGATAATAATGTATGTCTGCATTTGATCTAAATGGCCTCATATTTTAAGTAAAATTAAAACATTGCCAAAAAAACAAGTATATTAATAACTTGTGCTTTCCTCTTATTTCAGATTCTTCCAGAAGTCAATGGGCTTGATGTACATCCATTGGTAAAAAACTCATCATGGTCATAGTTTGATGAGTCTGACATTTGAACATGGCAAACATCGCCCTCCGAAACCTACAATAAAAAGGGGGAAAGCTGGCATTATTCTATAATGATTTGAAATCCTATATAATAAAAGGCTAATATGCAAATCGACCAATTGGCAAATGACTGGTCGCTATGTATTATAGCACACTGACCTCCAGGGGACAGATGCTCAACACAGGAGCTGCCCCCTGGTGGTCAGTGCGCTCCCACAGGGGGAGCACCACTCAGCCAGAAACTGGGCTCACAGCTGTCAAGCACAGCAGCATCCCCCAAGAACCCCTGGACTGCAAGAGGGTGCAGGCTGGACTGAGGGACCCCTCCCCTAAGTGCACAGATTTCATGCACCAGGCCTCTAGTTTTAAAATATTTTCAAATATGGCTACGTTGCCACTACTGCCAATTGACATCTCCAACTTTAACATCTCCTGCTGTGAACCTTTATAAATATAGAAAGTATATGGACAGTTAAAGACCAATTTTGTGAAATATTAAAGACATTTGGTAAAAATCAACAATTATATGTTTAAATGATGTTTCTAATATCAATTGCAATAATTTATTTATTTGAACTAAGGATATGCATTTCATGCATCCATTCTGAGCAAGTTCAGCTGAAATTAAAGGGAATTTGAGTATTACCGATCTTTCCAAAAGAACTACCAATAGGCTCTAAATTTAAAATGTATTCTTTATTCTTCTTATGTGGTCTGAATGGTCTTAAAAGTTTTTCTTTTCTTCACATACCTGTAACTAAAGCTGATCTCCCACACATGAGCATAAATACGTAGGTTTCATAGAAGCAGCATTGGCATTCAGCATCAAATTACTTGAACTCTACTAGGATTTTTCTGGTCAAATATTAAGCACAATAGATTGGTTCATTCCATCTTTCAGCAGCAACAGAAAACAAAATAACTTAAGCTTCACGGAGGACGCCAGAAAGAAATCCTTACTGAGGACCTTACAAAGGGAGTAAGGGTTCTTTCTCTGTTATCCTGAATGACTCCACTCTCCAGAAGCCCTTCATGTTAGCACTGGGTTTTCATCTCGCATTTGAACGGCATGTCTGCTTTCTAGTAAATATATGCTCCTCATTTAGGGAGTCCAACATTGCTTTACTTTGTCCATGCTCTAGTAACAGAATCACTCTTTGCTTTGAAATACCAATAGCATGTATTTTGGGATGGATAACCACAAGAACTCGCTGAGCCTACCTCCCAGCAGTTTTTCTGCCAAGGACCAGGTGAGATGAAACTCGAATTTGGAGCTGCTTGGCTGGTAGAACTTGGGTTTGGGGCTGCTTGTGACCACCTTGCCTCCATGTGGGAAGAACCTATCACAGATCTAGAGCTCCAGTTGCCTGAGTCAAAAAGTACACTAGTTCAAAGTGAGTTTCTGTTACTCACCTCCCCAGAAGTCTTACCGTATCATCTATTGCCTTTTTAACATTCTTTCTGTATCTGTTATTTTGTTCAGAAGCATTTCAGGCATTACTTACTTTTTGTTAGCAACCACATAAATGCAGGGGTTGTAGAATGTAGAAGACTTTGCAAACAGCGGAGCAATGATGGCCATGGAGGGAGGGATCTTCTTTGGGTCCCCAAAAGAAGCCCATAAGCACACAATCGAATAAGGGGACCACGCCACCAGGAACATGAATATCATTATCACAGACATCTGTAAAAGAAATCAGCATCTGCCAAACCCAATATCTAACTAGCTAACATATCTAAGATAGCATAAAATTATCTAGATTAGAATTTGAATAAGTTTATATTGTCATCAGACATAAAGGAAACACACACACACACATACCACGTGCTGCTCTTTACTCATGTGCACATAAAGAAGTCACCTATGATAGCAAGGGCTTGTGAGGAGACAAGGTGGCACAAATGTAAAGAAGGCCTCCTTTCCTTTGGTATGCTCGGGGAGAACACAAAAGCTGGCTTTGATGAAAAGCAGATCTATACCCGCTCCTAACCCATTTCTAGGAGCTGTGCTTAGACCCCTGGCGTATATCGACTAATACATAGCCCGGAACTCAGAAAGTCTCAGAAACTGGTGGTGAAAGCTACTTATGAAGGTGGGGCTACGCATGGAATTTAAAACAACTCACTGAAATCTGCAAAAAAGAAGCACCTAGACTTTCGAATTCCCTCTGCACTCAGGCCTGTCCTCTCCCAGAAGCACCCAGAAGTATAGGAGGGGAGTTGAAGCAAGAAAACTCAGGACTGGGGACACTGGGCTCAGCCGAGAGCCAGAGTGCTGTACTGAAAAGAGGGGTGCTGCATGCTGTCCCCTTCAGGCTCTGAGCCATCGCATACAGGTAGACAGATTTGTATGTTCCACCTCGGAATGTACAAGAATCTTCTCCTTGGAAACTGACCAGCCCAGAAGAAAATGCCTAGAGAATCAGATTGCCAGAAAACCCTCAAAGGAGCATCCCAACAAAAGAGCCCACGCAGAGCCTTCAGCTTTCTAGCAAATCGCTTTCAACACGCAAGGACAGTCACTGGCCACCAGACACTGAGGAAACATGCAAACTCCCAGGCAAAGTCCAACACGGTTCCGAAAATCAGGAGAAACAAAAAATATGTGAACAGAAGGAAAATGGAAATATATGCATAATAACATCACAGAAGTAAGAGAAGATATAAAACAAGAAGAGGCTATTAAAAGAGTGTGAAGTATAAGATAGTTATTTTATCTATAACAATGGTTCTTATCCT